ATTCAGATTCCACCAATTTCTTATTTGCCTTGTAACTTTTTTCATACACCTCCGCTACTAGTGATTTAAAGTTTTTAAATTATGTAATCCACTCTTCTGCGTTGAATGAGCCAACTACCAGCATAATCTGACGTCAATTGACATATGTAATAGGCTGAAAACCTTCATTTTTGACAAAATTCACCCATTTTCACTACTTTTCACACCTGCTACTCTTCTTTTCTTGCTCATGTAATATGACATCATCCTCTATAGCCTTAAAAATCCCGGAAAATCCTCTTGGAAACCTTAAATTCCACTATTACCAGCATTACATATGTAAACTACACATACAACCCTTGTTTACCAACTTCAAAAAAGTACCTTTTCCCTAATAACTTCTGTTTCTCCTTATCAACCTTCAAGATGGATATTGTTACAGGATAATATAATGTTTTTCTTTCATATTCTAACCTTACTAAACCCATAAACCTAATATTACTACCCTAAAAACCATTTCCAAGCCTGTATACCTATATTTTTGAAGTTTCCTTATGTTTTTCTTTCTTTCTTTTTGTAATAAGATTGTGAATATACTCTAATGATCTTAATAAGTATTATGAAATAAAATGATATAATCTTGGCCCAATGATCAATACATAAGCCTATAAGAGCTTCAATTGATTTGAAAACCTGCATTTTGAATTTTCTTTCCTGCTAAACTTTTCTGGTAAACTGGTAAACTACCACACCTGCACACTTAATTCCTTACCCTATACCATAGGGTCATACACAGTACCCTGTGACCCAATGGGGTTCCTGGGAATACTGCGAGATGAAGTTGCATCTTGAGAAGCATCTCCGAGACCTCAAATTTTCGCTAAGTCCCCTTTCTATAAGGGAGCTCTTCCAGCGACACTCATCTATCATACACGCACCCCACCACCTCATTAAGACTCCACCACCCATACCATATACTCCACCCACATATCACACCTCCACCACCCTCTTGCCACGCTCCACCTTCTTCTCACAGGTCCACCTCCCCACATATCTGAACACACCTACCCAGCACCAAGACACACCTCCGCACAAAATTCCACTCTGTCAGTCAAAAATCCACCATGCTTCGCTTCCCTTTCCTTACTTTAACTCATGTATACATATACACAATCATCCACAAAACCCCTCGATCCTATACCCACCAACCTTTACCAATCACCATACCAAGTATCATACATATGTCACACATGATACATACCTACACCCACAAAGCGAAAGTACGTACCAAGTCACACCTTAACTCTATGTAAATAGGTGACTGACCTTTGCTTGTGACCTCAACTTGACCACTTTTTGATTTTGACCAACCCTTCTGGCACTGATTCCACTTCGCAGATGGTATGGCACGACCAGGCCCTTCCACTCGATCTAGTCGTCGCTGCAATAAGGCCACACCAGGTGCTCATTCTATCTAATATCATTGATGCTATTCACAATTTCCGATTACTGACTTGAATTCCGAACCTATTTTTGAACATAGGGGAGCCACAAAGTGAAGATGAATCTTCTACATCTTACCAGGGTGAGTTGCATCCGCATTTAAAGTTTGTTTTTCCCAGTACTTCCTTCATAGTCACTCATACAGTTGGTCCACAAGCAGCACCTTCAGAGTTGCATGAATCCGACTCCGAGCCCCACTTTGAAGGTACACAAGGTAAGTACACCACTTTATAACCGCACAAGAACCCACTTTATAACCAACCCGGCTGATCACGATCCCCTCATCAATGTGACTAGGTGAACTTGAGCCCAAAGCACCTTCCGGAGGCAAATTGAGGAAGAAGAGAAAGAAACGCACCAAGACAATCAAAAAGCCACCCAAAGATGATGCTCTGTTACCAGAAGTTGTGGTGGAACCAGTCGATGAGCATGGTGTACCAATACCTGAAGAACCAATAACTAAGCCCACGCTCCATAATTATCAACAACTCTCAGATCTTTGGAGCCAAGAAGAGATCAAGCACTACCTTCAGTGCGCAAAACCCCTATGTCACAGTCGCATACCCCCCGACATCCTGAATGAGGCCAGAGCCCTCGAGGACCAACTGGCCACCAGGTTGCAGGTCTTGAGTTTGGCTGGGGGGATATCATACGAAACTTTGAAATATGGAGTGTTAAGTTGATCCATTGTTCCTTCCTTAAACTTTACACTGATTAGCACATCTCCATGCAGTCATCGTGCTGTGCGACTGAACAGTCTAAGCCCTTACCACCTCTTTCGCAAGTTTAGTTTGGCTGCCACTGTTGATAACATTAGTAAGTCATCTCAACCCCATGTTTCTCACCGACAGCGAGCAGCAATACTGATCCTTATTGATGCATTCGGCACCAGTGCCGCAAACTGCCCCGCATAACCCACACGAAGCTGGGTTCATGGACTGCGACTCTCTTGCGTCTTACAACGACAAGGTATGTGCAGCCTGGGAAGCGATCAAGGACACCCCGGACGAAAAGGTCTTTGAAAGAGGCCTATTTGATCGCATTGCGCTAGTTTTATCCAACGAGACCCCGGCCCTCGAACTCCACGAACATCTCTCTGCTGAAGAACAGGATTATCTGCCCATTTTTGAACGCCTTGTCAATGTCAAGAAGGTGAAAGATGAATTGGCTCTAAATCGACACCCCGATCAACGAGCTAAGTATCAACAGAAGGGCATTGCCCAGATCCAGCTTATACATTCATCGGTAAGACTCAACCACTCACTGTACATAACATCAAGTTAACTAGAGTTTTTTCCTATACATCAGCTCCAAGCCATGCACAAGTCTTACGGCATGCACTACCACCTGATGGCGAGCTCGTGGAATCCCACCACAACCAATCCCACAGCTGGCTGGTGTAAGGAATTTAGCTCAGACCATGTCTACCTTAGCTCTTTTTCCTCTCCCAATCACCTCCTCGAGCGATTCAATAGGTTCGCCACCCGTCGCGATCTGCCTGATCAGAAGTCCAAGGACACGTATGTGCGACCAAATGACCAGCTTCGGAAGGACTTCACTTCGGCTTTGAATGAGCTTGTGTGTCAGTTACATTTCCACACAACATTACACTCAATAGCAATTAACTTACCATACTTGAACATATCCAGCCGAACACCTTGGTAAAGTAAATCCGAAAGCAATCAAGGGGCGTGTCCACATCCACCCAAAAAAACCACACTGCAATCTCCTATTGCAAAGCATAGAATTTCCAAATGACATTAAGCTTGCAGTGCATCAAACAAGCGATTCGAAAGTCACCCCCCAGATGCTTGCAGCGGGGCCTGCCGCGATTATGAATGATAAGGAAATGATGCAAGTATGGTTAGAAGACATATTGGCACGCCGTTACACAGTTGTTCGTGTCACAGACCAAAAGGAAGATCGCACATAGCTTCTGTGCTTCATGTTAATCTTAGTTCCATTGCAAATCATGATCTCACCAGATCAAGTTCCTTGTACTTCAATTCCCCATAGACATCTATCTGCATACATGCTAAATGTGAAAATACGCCACCCATTGTGTGGTGCGATTCGAAAGGCTTGGTCCGTTTTTATGAAGTCATGTAAAGTGGTGTTTCGCCCCCATGGTGCGGTATGTTCATAGTGCAGTACTATGGTGTGGTGGGTTGATAGTGCGGTACTTTCGGTACTGTGCTCTGGTGAGTTTTTGTAGGGTGGTGAGTTTTTCTACACGGTGAATGTTTTTATTGAAATGGTGTTGTGCTGCGTTGCCACAGTCTAGTGTATGAAGTAGGCTATTGAGTCTTTCATGACCACCTGGTTGATTGACGATGATGTAGCGTGACACGGTCGGTGTGTCGCATTGAATGGTGGATAGCCCCTAAGGTGCAGTGCGTTGATCGCGCGGGGTGTTTGGCACTGGGTGGGTTTGGGTGGGGAACGGGCGGTGGGTTATTTTGAGGTGGTACAATTTTGTTATTGAAAGGGTGGTGTGCATCATTCACCCTGTCAATGAACCTATACATGAGGTGGTGTGTTGAACATGCAGTGGTACGCTTTAAGGTCAGGTACGGTGCGATGGTGGGGAATTTTTAAGGGTGGTGCATGTGATTCGTGATGCGGTGGAGTGCATACACTGTACACCACCCTTCAAGGCAGCCCTGATGTACCGGTACATATGTTATGTACCGGATAAACCTATACATGAGGTGGTGTGTTGAACATGCAGTGGTACGCTTTAAGGTCAGGTACGGTGCGATGGTGGGGAATTTTTAAGGGTGGTGCATGTGATTTGTGATGCGGTGGAGTGCATACACTGTACACCACCCTTCAAGGCAGCCCTGATGTACCGGTACATATGTTATGTACCGGTACGTACATATCTATGTACCGGTGGGTATGATGATGGAAACAAACTCCAAACCTAGGTACCGGTGAATAGACACAATGCTCGTGTACCGGTACCTAGGTTTGAGGAATGTTTTCATCATCATACATACCGGTACATAGGTTAATCAAAACCCTATTCAAACCTAGGTACCGGTACTTCATCAATCTCATGTACCGGTTGATACCGTCGCAAACTGTACCAATCAGCGTGTGAGACTGATCGGTACCCCAGAGTTCAACTGCTGCCGAAACCGTACCATACCCTACCGCACCCAATTCCTGAGCCAACAAGGCATCTCCTCGCCTCTCACAAATCGCAACTAGGCCAGCACTTGCCTCAGTATTTCCATCTCCTTCATCGCAGAACGTAGCCGAGGACCGACACGCACTCACCATGCACCAACCTCAAGCACCACCTCGGAACGTTGACGGCTCCATTCCACAAGCAAAGGTTCGTTATTTTTATCGAACCTCTTTTCATGCGATTTCTCTTGCGCCAGGTTTCATAACTCTTAGCCGGATCTGAGAATTTGAAACCTGCGTATGCATGCATTCAAGGCATCCGGATGTGCCTTGAATGCATGAAGCAAGAGAATCGCAGCTTGAGAACATTTGCTGACCCAATGTTTTTTTTTCTTTATCGCTGTCAAACTGAAGCTTTACGATCTGGCTCCTCCCAAGGTTTCAGGTTACGAATCCGACCTAACGGACCTTGAGGATCTTGAACCCCCTCGATTAACCATGCCCAGGTAAGACCTCTTGATTTCAAATTATGTCGCCTGGAATGGAGCTCATTGTCTTCTCTATTACACCTACCCAGCACCAAGCCGAAACCCTCTCCACCTTGCAAAAAGGTCAACCCTGCTAGACTCAAGCCTTCGAAGGCTAAACGTCCTGGAAAGAAACCGAAGCCTCGCACCCACGAAATTCCAAACCACCTAAGGCCCGACATACCGGCTCACCAGTTCCGTAGCAAGTATCGGCGTCGCTCGATGGTGGCTCACTACCTCCACAGTGTTTTCGAGAAGGCCAGGCTCATCCATGTCGATTTTGACATGGCTGTTGCTTACTTTTTGCAACAAGTTCACCACCTTGACCTTGGCGACATCCCCTTGAGTGTCAACGCCGTCCTGGACGACTTTTCAATCCTTGACCCTCTGAATGGGCGACAAGATAGCATTCTCCTCTGTGCAAATCATATCAAACGCACCCTGGACGAGTATGCAGCTTGCCCGGCTGGCCTCAAGCCTTTCGCACTTCGTTTTCCCAACCTCACCTCCCTGAACAACCTTGCAATTGAACGGTCGATCTCCCCTGAGGTTGTAGGAAAGGATGAAGCCATTGTCCTCATTGATTTGGCTGGTCGCGTCGCTGCTGTGGGAATTCCACCCAAAGTCAGCAAGCTCGCTAAGACACTCAGCGGTCAGGTAAGTCTTTGCAGCATTGCTTATTAAATTGGTTTCGAACTGATCTTCATTTATGGTTTTATTTCCTTTGTACTTGTTTCCTCAACATGGTTCGATTTCCACCTCCTCATAACGACAGGAACGCGGCCGTCTTGCTTTTGCAGGTGTGGCTGCAGTCCACGATACGCCACGTTTCATCGGCCCGATGACGTTGGAAACCTTCCAGCGGACTTCACATCCTCCACCTCCATTTGTACAGAGCCCATTCCAAGTATCTGAAACCGCCAGCATCCGACTCAGCGGTGCGACTGCTAGCATGATCAACGTCCCTGGTACAATCAATGGGGCGTTGCCATCTCAGGAGGTGGGCTACGGCCGATATTCGGTAAGTAGTTCCCTATTTTTAGCTTTTCTGACATTAGCTGGTCCTCTTCCTATCTTCGGACTGGGCGTATTCTCCCATAAACACTAACAATATGCCTATATCCGCAGGACCTTGCCGCTGGGATGTCAGACACAAATCTGCAAATGGGGCTTGATCGGCAGGGCCACCCGTCTTCTGGGTGGGAACAAGCCGCTGTTAGCGAGTACAACCTTCCTACCATCATTCAAATGGGTAAGGAACACGCATATAAGCGTGAGGACCACGCGCGAATCAATTCAGAGCTGCTATGGTACCTGGAATTGGGACGACTCGTCATCAAGTCGATACAGCCTCAATCTTACTCGGCAGCTATGGCGGCGGTTCGGGTCATCGTACAGAAAGGAACACCGGCGGCATCTCGCGAACTGAAGGACATGACGAACCCCCTTGGCATTGGTAGGTCCATCTCACTGTGCTTAAATATAATCATTTGGCCTAACTCGCCCTTCTTAATACTGGCAGGCAGGCACACGATGTTTGGTATGCAGGTCGATCATCATCGAGATGGAAATAATGCCACGCTTTTTGCCTCAGCTAATTTTTTTGGCGAAAACTACGGCGGTGGCGAGTTGATCCTCAATTACCTAGGGTATGCCATTCATGGCGGACCTGGCTATTCGGTTCATGGGGCCTTCGACATACTTATGCACGGTGTGGGGAAAATCACTCGCCTTCCAACCTCTGAAGGCCAACCACTTCAGCGAATCTGCATGGCAGTCTATAGCCATGCAGATGTTTTCGCCGGTGCTGCTCGGTTTTCTGGAATGCAACAGGAGCCAAAGGTTTTTAGCGACCCCCGCCTTTGGATTCCTTTTTATCCAGCCGGTTTTTCCCTTGCTCAGATGCTTCAAATCCTCCACTATGAAGAAAAGCGCTTGCACAAGAGGTATCGAGACGAGGTTCGTGCTTACAAGGCTGCGTTAAAAGCAGCGGAAGATGCAGCCAAGAAGTGTGGCACCTTGCATTCCATAGTTGATCACCACTTGATGATAGTCTGTAAGCTTTTCTCACCCTCTCGTTCCATTTCCTTTTCATTTCGCTTAGGTGGTTATGGTTTCGGATCGAGTTGATTGATGCCCACAATTAATTATTTAGGAATAAATCATTAGCTGATTCCGGTTGGAATCGCTGCCGAGGCAAACACTCTCGGCTGTAAGCTTACTTGAAGTGTTTTCAAGCGATTATATGGTTGACAATATGGATGGATGTGAATTATACATCAACCTATTGTCTTGATAATTTTGTGTTTTGTTACTGGTTTTCAATCGATTAAATTCTAGAGTAAGAGATTGTTCTCTTGATTATTTTGGCTTCAGGATTCCTGTTGGTGAACTTGTTTATCATCCCTAACCAATCCATTCCACAATGAATGCCAAGTTTTTCTGGTATGATTGAGTTAATAGTCATCATTTTGAGTACACAATGTTATGCGAATTGTTTTTGGTTTGGTGTATTTTAAATGGTTGTTTGCCCATGTTTGGGGTCGACATCCATTGCAATTGCCACAAGAATTTAAGCATTTACACTCTCCATGCAACGCTGCTTGCATAGAGAGTGTAAATGCTAATATATGTATAAGTCATATTTCAATTCATATTTAAGGTTTAATCCTGTGGACGCATGTTTTCACCTTGGTCAAATTTAAATCTGAGCAACCTAAACACCCATTTGAAAAGGATTTACATAGTTTTCTATGTTCTATGTAAATAACACGTAGAAGAATGACAGAAAAATTCCATATTGTCAATTTGTAAAATAGACTCTATAACTTGGCCCTTTTCCACACCATATAAAATAAGGTATGAACATGTGCAAGTTTGGCACTGATGTCAGTGAATGAAAAAGTTGGTAAATACTTTAACATGTAGAAGTATGACATAAACTCATGGTTATATATAATTAAATGACACCATATATAAACATAAAAGCATATAACACAAGGGCAGTGTTTGTGTAGTTTTTGGATGTGAGCAGGAGGAAAAATCCCCGGTTTGTATATTGAAGTCAAGTTTTAGGGGGGAAGAGGTAGAGCTGCAAGAAAAGACCATTAATGAAAAGTGTCACTCTTGTAGGAAAGGAGAATTCCAGAGACTTCCATAGAAGCATGGTGCAAAACAAGTGTTCCTCAATACTTTTGTGTTGAGGTAGTATGTGAGCCAGATAAAATTTCCTCCGTTTGTATATTGAAATCTTTTGTGTTGTGGTAGGATGTGAGCCAGACAAAAATCCCCCCGTTTGTATATTGAAATCCCTTTTGGAGGGTGAAGAAGTGATTAGTTAAACAGTATCTTCATGCAGGAAATCATATTTGACATCAATACTTTTGTGTTGTGGTAGTATGTGAGCCAGATGATAATTCCCCCGTTTGTATATTGAGAAATCTCTTTTGGAGGGTGAAGAAGTAGACCTATGGCAAAAAGTTATTACTTAATCATCATCTTCATGCAGGAAATCATATTTGAAAAAGGAGCATTGGCCCAAATTCCCACCTCTTCAATGTGTTTTTGTGATTTTTGTATGTGAGCAGGAGGAAATACTGTGCTTTGCATATTGAAGTCAATATTCTTAGTGAAGAATGTGTTTTTGTGGTTTTTGTATGTGAGCGGGAGGAAAATTAGTTGAAATGAGTGTTTTGGAAGACGGAAAAAGCAGTTAAGCATATTGGAAGATGAATATGCTCTTTTCAACTCTGAAGTGAGTGTATCAGAAGACGTAAATAGCAGTTCAGAGTCGAAATAATCTACTTCTTTTTCCGCTTCTGATACACTCATTTTGACTCCAAACTGAGTTCAGAGCTGAAATAATTTACTACTTTTTCCGTCTTCTGATACACTCATTTTGACTCCGGAGTGACTTTTCCGTCTTCCAATACACTGATTTCGACTCCAAACTGCTTTATCTGTCTTCCGATACACTCATTTTGAGTCCAAACTGCTTTTTCCGTCTTCCAATACTCTCATTTTGACTTGAAAATTGTTCTTCATTACCCTTCAGACCAGTCTGGAGTTGTAGTTGCCGGATTTGTAGCGCCTACATATGCAGGACTGCATGTAGGCGCTTGTTTGAGCTGAAAATTGAATGTATGCGCTCATTTTTAAAAATGTAGGCATAAATTTTCAGTGCCTACATTGGATTTCCCAAGTAGGCGCTCGAAAATAGCGCCTACATTTCATTATTTGAATGTAGGCGTAACCAAATGACACCTACATGGGTTTTTTAACATGTAGGCATCATTTTGGATGGTTTCCAGCGCCTACATCATAAATGTAGGCGCTTCTTTGTGGGAAACACCCATGTAGGCGTAATTTGGCCAGCGCCTACATGGTTTTCTTGTGGGCTGCAAATAGCAACGGCCTAAAAAATGTGCACACTATAAGAGAATACATTTAACAAAGGACCATCTGCCCAAATTCCCACATCTTCAATGTGTTTGTGTGGGTTTTGGATGTGAGTGGCAGGACAAACTGTGGTTTGCATATTGAAGGCTATGCATCTTAGGTGAAGATGCATAGCTATTGTAAAAAGTCTGCAATGAAAAATGTGCACACTATAAGAGAACATATTTAACAATGGACCATCTGCCCAAATTCCCACATCTTGCATGTGATTGTGTGGATTAGCGTCACTTTGTGGTGCTAATCCACACAAACACATTAAATATGTGGGAATAACTTATCAGAGAGGGCAACAACCGGTTTATGTTGCTGAATATGACACAAAATTCACTCAAACACAGTGAACATGTGGACCATTGGGCAGTAGGCCCTCTGGTAAATATGCTTTGGAAATATTTCATTATACACTTTTGACCATAGCTCTGCATCATCATCTTCAAAAATTGACATCCAGCAACAACATTTGGGTGTAACTTATCAGAAAGTGCAACAACTGGATTATGTGTCAAAATATGACACAAAATTCACTCAGACACATTGAAGATGTGGACAATTGAGCAGTTGGTCCTTTGCTAAATATGCATTATTATACTGCGGACATTTTCCATTATACACTTTTGACCATAGCTCTGCTTCATCATCTTCGAAAAATGACATCAACATGCAAACCTTGATTTTGTCCTCCCGCTCCCATACAAAAACCCCTGGACCTCTTTGAGGATGTGGGAATTTGGCCCAATGCTCCTTTGGTAAATGTGCCTTCCTGCATGGCGCAAGGTATTCATTAATGACTATTTCCCACAGCTTCAATGTTGAAAATGGCACCTTGAATATGTGCCAAATCTGGAACATGGTCATTTGTTAAATATGTCTTCCTACATGCCGGAGAATTTCCATTATTCACTTTTAGTCATAGCCCTACTACTTAAACTATGAATTGCAATTGCAATCTCAACATATTGCTATCTGCAAAAGAGCAATTTGTTCATGCTGATGGTCAACTATACTTATATGATGTCTAGGGTAAAGAATAATGTACCATAATATTGGAAGTCAATGTGGTCATCTTTTGATGCAGGTATATAGTAGATCAAAGAGGAAGCGATGTCTGATCAACATGAAGACAGCATAGGGATTTTAATTTCAGACAGGTTCAGCAGGCAACATGGGTTTAATTTGTCAATAACATCAAGCACAAGGATGATTCACAATAACAAAATCCCTCCAAAGGGAGCATCTAAGCTTATGCCACCTGTTCAAGGGGCTTCAACCAATTGCGGAAACATTGTAGTCGTTTTTTTCTTTGACAACGATGACAAAAAGCTGCGTTGTAAAAAGGCGCATCTTTATGGAAACAATAGTTTTCCGAAATGCTAAACAAGATAAGCAACATTAGTTTGACAGTACGTCGTAACATGTAGGGAGTCATCATTATTACTGACATGGCGTCGTGTGGTATTGTGAACACATGATTTGTTTTGACCCCAGACCTTGATAATCCCGCTTGATGATGCTGAGCCTGTGTGGTTTAATGGATACATGAGTTTGACATTTAATTGGGTATAAGTCAATGATAACACTAAAAATACTTGCGCACTTTGACTTCGCTCAAAAAGCTATGTGTTATCCGTTCCAAGGCCTCGCCGTCAATCGCGCCGTTCGCGCCTGCATGCTTTTCAAGCAACTTTGACAGGTGGTTATTTACAAGTTGGCGGCAGTTGTCAGCGCGGATACGATTGGTTCGAGCGTTAACTTTTGGAGAAGCGTGTGTGATTCCATGACTTGGTTGTTGATGGAATTTTGTTGTTGAGTTGGAGAAGCGTGTGATTGATTGCAATGTAGATCGTAAAGGTTTCCCATATTCATGTTGTTGTTGTAAGTTGTTTGTGGATCCATGTTGTAGTTGTGGTTGGTTGTTTGTGGAAATCGAAAGGCAATTCAACTCGACCAATGAAACATACATGATTACGGTGGTAAGTTATGTATGTATGTTATGTATTTGTAACCACATGGGCACTTACCAAATTCATCATGTTCATTCCTATCAAACCCAATAGCATACCACACCTCTCACCACCACCACGATCAGTCACGTCAGTCACGACCAACCATGCCCAAATTCACCGGGGTCCATCAACCCTTCAATCCCAACAAGCCGTACTGGACGAAGGACACCCCGAAAACTGATCTGCAGAAGCGTTTTTTTGAGAAGATGGCCAACGCGGTCAAAGGTAACAAGCGGCATGGTAGCTCATTAGACCACAACCACGGTGAACCGGATCCGTACGGAGGCCCTTCCAGGTTCGAGGACCTGCCGCCCATACCTGCTCTTGACGAACTTGATATCAATGCCATCCCCGCTTTCATTGAAGAGATTCATCAAGCTCGCCTGGAAGACGAAAGGCACGAACGTGATCTGGCTTTGGAGAGGGCATCGCAAGAGATGTTCTCGGCTTATATTGAATGTCATCTCAAAACGAGTGAATGGGGCAATCTATTGACATGGGACCTTGATAACAAGCCTGCGTGTACATGTAGACCTAGTCAAAGGCGCGAAAGGAACGTTGACTTGGTGGATATTTTAAGTTCGTGCCCTCTCACCCAATTATTCATGCATGAACTTTTCAAACTGATGGTCGCCGGTCTCTGCTGCAACTCAAAAGCGAGGCGGAAAGTGCTCATCACATTTTGTCCATGTCAAGAGAACGATCAAACTCGTTTAATATACATGGGGTACATTGGGGGCTCGCCGAAATTCCCTCAGACCGCCTTTTCCATAAGGCTGCTACGATTCTATCATCTCATATGGAAGTTCTGCAGTACACGACTAGGACCTTTTGCAAGAGCTCTGGACGAGTTTCTGGACGCTGGGAATCCCCTCATACTTACCAAAACCGACGAGGTTGGTCAGATTGAGCTCGACTTCAGATAAGCAAAAACCATTACTGACCAATCTCGAACTCGTAGCCTCGACAATGGCATACACCGTTGTACTGGGCCATCGATGCATATCGACAGATGCTCACTATGACTGAAGAAGCCCTCCAGATAGAACTTAATCTCACTCTCATCGACAAGCTCGCGGAAAACTGTCCACGGTGCTTTGGCCCCCCTGTTCAAAACACCAATTATCCTTTAGAGCCTGATATCATAGTTTGTATGGATGGGAATTTTCAGCATCGTAGGCACCTCTCCGCAGGAACTAAGCAAGCTAAGAAACCCATCAAGATGCCATCATTATTTCTCCCTGAGGAACAAGTCAACCAAATGCAGGCTCGGCTTGAAGGGCTTCCTGAAAATGATTTTGTGAGGCTCTGACTTCGCTACTTCCCCATTTTGATTTCAAAACAAGCTGAATCATCCATTTTGGCCGTAGCAAGCATGTGCCGATCAGCACACTGCAGCCAATGATAAGCGAGGTAATAGGCACTGGGGCGGTTGTGATGAAACTGGGTTGATGGGGATGGCTTGTCGTCATGACCACCCACTTCGATTCGCCAACATCAAGCAAAGCGGCGAAAAGTGAGTTTAAGAATTCATCACTATGAGTAGGATTTTTTGATATTGGTAGCTGACATTGGCATCAATTCTTAGGCTGCACTTCAGCTATTCCCTGATTAATTGGATACTAGACATAACCCGCGGTCATGGCGTTACTCCTCGACGAATAGGTTTTTTGTATGACATAGGTTGTACAATGCTAAGTGGAATCGTCAAAGTAAATATATATTGCCTTCAGCTACAGAACCAAAAAAATAATTATAATCTTCCCTTGTACCAGCGTAATATGTTTGAAGAAGATCGGAACAATGACCGATTGAAATTTGGCACCAGCGTTTTCCACGCATACGTTCATCGTTGGACTTGTCAGCTCCGTTGGAACCCAAGGCTTAACGCTGGATGGGGCCTTTCTGATGGTGAAGGGGAAGAGAGGATATGGTCAGGTCTCGATCCTCTGGTTGCTCCGCTGAGGTATTCCACTGGCCAACACCGGGTTAATGCCATCAATATGCGGTCGGCGCATTTTAACACATGTTTACGTCATGAGGCAGGTGAGTAGGTGGCCGTTGCACTTACTAGTTGCAGCGCTCGTCGTACATCTTTGACATTGAGATTCCCGCAGTCAAACATGTACGACGAAGGAAGGGCGAGGTAGTAAAGCGCCTTGTTGAAGCTGAACAGACGCTTGCAATTTTGGCTGTTCCTGCTGAAGGATACCCAGGCCATAATGATCAATTCTTTGAGGATCATTGGATTGCGCAGCGAACCCAGCAGCTCGATGGAATGACCGACACACAAAAGCAAAAACGGGAGAAGCTTACGATTTTGTTGGCAATGGAGGAGCAGCTCGTCATTGCTCGGTTAGTGTAGCTTATCATACTACGGAATGAATCCAGTTCTGACGCTCCCTTGCAATGATTGTCAACTCAGGGAAGAACTTAGGGACCTTCAAAACAAAACCAGGAGAGCAAGAACTCAAGCAGACAGAAACGAGCTCCTGTCTCTCCCTGGATCCATAGTCGATATTGAAGGTCAAATTGAAGCCATGGCGACGGCCCTGGGAGGCGCGGAGTTTAGAGCTTTGACAGCAGCCACAGGTTCAGTGCAGGTCTTGTTGCCCATCACTTTAATGTATGTTGATAATCTTCGCTTGATGACTATTGTTCAGGAAATCAAGCAAATGCCGCTCTCAGTATATCTCTGGCACGTGACAAGTTGTATGAGAGCAAAGTGGGCCTCGTAGAATGCAGGCTCCGTCGTCATCGCGATACAGGTAAATTAAGGTATCCTAATTTGCCATGCGCTAAAGTGCTCATTGGGTTTGTTACTCTGCAGGTACTAGACAAGCACAATATAATTCTCGCCAGCATGGTGAGAAAACACGCAATCTACGCAACAAGTACAACACCTACGAACGCAGAGTGCTCAAGTTTAGAACCAATTATCGACGAGGGCCACGGTTTGAACTCCCAGGGTTTGACGCTGTAATGGCTATGGAAATGGACGATCCATTTTGGAATAGGGGTGAGATGGATGAAGAAGAAGGTCAAGCGGAAGAGAAAGCCATGATCAGAAGAGGTATTGATGCGTTTTTAACACGAAGAAGTGCTCAGGAAGAGCTCCGTCGGATTGCCAGGGAAGTGCGTCAAATGATTGGTTGGGCAATCCACTATCATCAGCAAATTAAGTTGCTGAAGGGGGGAATCGGGCAAGGTGAGAAATATGATATATTCACTTGAAGTTAATTTAGAAACGTCAACCTGATATGTGGCTGTTACTTTGCAGCAAATAATGCCAATGAAAAGGCCTATAGGGCCGCGCTATATAGGATTGTGGCTAGAAGGATGTCTAAACTGTGGAAACACTGGACCGCAGAGCTCAAACTTCAGGTTGAGGATACTCACATATATTTACCAGGCATTTTACAATTGGATGAAAGACTGAGAAGGGAATGGGTGGAAGTCGATGAATGGGTTGAACTAGAGTGGAAGAATTTATCGGGAGGCACAGTTGTTCGAGCTGAAGAGCCAGACCAGTACGAGGAGGATGAAGAGCAAGTGTATGCGCTACTTTATGACATGAATGGAGATTTCCTAAGGGATTGAAATATAACTCACATATTACTTAGATTTTGTGTTGTTATGTATATGTTTTTTTTGTGTTGTATTATAAATAATTTGTGTTTTTGCAAATGTGATGAATAAAAAAAAATCTTTATATGTTTTTGAGCTCGCATGGCTATATTTGAAAAACCGATATGCTTCAATAGAAACATATTCAATTTAATATAGGTAGTTACATCATTTGAATTTGAAACATTGGAGTGTAGGATATTTTTAATGTTGCGTTCAGCATTATTTTGCTTGATCATCAAAGGTCAGAAATAGAATTTGTTCCGCTCCTGGAGGAGATAAACAGCTATGGATTGGAGTCAACCAACCAAGTTTTCTTAAATCAAAAGACACAAAATTTTACATGGCATAAAATCCGATTGCAAGAACACAATATTTTCAACAATCAAAGATATGATGATACCAGGACTACAGATACTTTTTCAACTACAGAATCTTATTCTAAAACCACAGGGTCTTGAGAACGGTTTAACCACGGATATTCAGCAACTAACAAAGGGCGGATACATTGATTGTACTGATTGAAATTAGCTTTATATTTAGTTATCCACTTGGCTGCTTCTGGTTTGGATAGTTTGGACCATTCATGCCATGGGTCAGGAATCGGTATGGGACTAGAGGGATCTAGAGTTAGTGACAAGAAATGTAAACCTTTGCGATCGTAAGAGAGAAAGATGGGCGGGTTATCATTCACAGCCCCTTCAAGAGGGAAAGCTGAGAATGATTCGTTAGCGTGACTATAGACACAGAATGGGCGGTTGTAAGTGTTGGAGATGATGTACATCATTTGACACGAGTTGAGCCAGAGTGAGGTGGTATCCAACACGTCTTCCCTAGTTGTTTTTATGGCTGAGATATGTTCATCGACCCCACCGTAACCTCTCCGGCGTGCTTCAAGGTGCGCCTCGTAAAAACCTTGCTTTGACTGCAGCTCGGCTATCAGATCATCTCGAACTGACTTCCATGTGTTTTCAGGTCGTCCTAGACTGATCGCAATAGCGCGATAACCACAGTGACCATCAGCAACAGGGTCAGATACCAAAGTTACATATGGATGAAGCCAATGGGGTACACGATCGTCCTGGAGGATATGGATGCCAGGGGGTCAGGATGATTGATCAGCCAGTGGGAATGAAGTCGAAAAATAGACGTACACACATTTTTAGTGGTGCGTGTGCGGCGTGTAGAGCGGCGAGGCTCTGCTACAGTGCTAGGTGGCTCCACAGGAGGGCAGGGTTTGACTTCGTTGCGCCTTGTAGACCTTCGGAGGGACAAGGAGGGTGATGATGTCACCTTTTGCTTTTTGCTCTGCAAAGTTCGAGAGATTGAGGTTCAATAAGCATATTGATGATGAGGTAAGGAAGGCCTGAGATAGGTAGACCTACTCGAGTGGATTGATTGTCTGCTTTTGCCTTTGGTTGGTGTTCTTTTATGTTGTAGCGATTATCTTCTGTGGAGGTTGGGTGATCTGACTTATCTTCTTTTTGTTTATCCTCGGTGATATTCGAGGCTGATGGGATCAAGGATTCGAGTTGGAAGCTACCATCCAAGTCATCTTCATCGTCATTAGCCAATGGTGGAGGTGAAATTTGAGGACAAGGATCATCGGGCTGGTGTACCGTCCGCAAAAAATGCTGGAGAGGTTCCTATAAAGGTTTTGTAAAGGGTTATAAGTTTTTATCTTGAGGCACAAACCCAGGCGAGAGAGAAAATTAATGATAGCTTACAAGTGGGGATTCAATTGTAGGGGCAGTGGTTGGAAGGAGCGTAGGTGAGGGCTGCCACAGAAATGGTTAGTTTGAGACATTAACAGTTTGTTCTGAGGCGCAGGTATTGAATCTGAGACGCAGAGACCAGGCTTACCAAGCTATTGCTGTCATCAGCGGTCTCAGACCCATAATTGACCATAATATGACGAAGAGATATCTCATTTGGTGCGATTGTGCTCTTTGTGTCCTGTGGTGTATTCCTTTCGAGTGCGACATTTGATGAATCTGCGCAAGCGTGATCTTGAGGAAATAGTTCTGAGGAAATTGGTTCGAACTGTTGCTGACTAAGGTGAGCAGTGCTTGTTGATGGCGATATCAAATTGCGGTCAGCAAGAGGTGGGTTGGATGATTGGTAAGCTTGAGCAGGAGGAGTTAGGACTGCTGGGGTGAAAGGGTAAGTCGTGCTTGCAATGGTTGGATCGATGAGTGTCGAGTCTAAGTTCTGAAGCGCTGCTGACATGGTCTTGTGTTTTCGTTTCCTCTTTTCTTTCTTCCTTTTAGGCGATGAGATGCTGTTGGTGGCCTGAGTGGTTGGCTTGTCTCCATCGGAGTGCAGGGGTTGTGAGTTTGTAGCTATTGAAGGTAATGTGGTGAGTGTGAGTGAGGAATCTATGGTAAGCGTTGGTTGTGAACAGCTGGTGAATTGTGATTCAGCGATATTGGTTCGGAAGGCTTGTGGTTGTAGTGGTATAGGTTTCCGATACTTGACGAGGATATCTTCTATCTTGGTAAGCACTTGAGCACGACATTCAGCCGAAAGCCGAGAAATCTCATTGGATATCTGAGAAAATATGAATCTCAGCCAACATAGAAGGGATGATCTTGAAAGTAGCTCTTACCCTTGCCGATCGTTGCTTGATGTCGGTCAAGGAGTCGATGGAAGAAGATGTGGTTGTTGTCTATGAGAACGGGTTTGGTAATACTTGTATCAGCAATCGCATCTCAAGTCGACAAGCATGCATATTCATACCTCAGATCCAATCGGGGGGTGGTTGTGGACAGGGTTTTTGATATGAAGAACCCAGCTGCCGACTGGTGGTAGAGATACTGAAGGGTTCTGTTCTGAAACGAGTTCTTGAAGATGACTTGGAACCTTAGGGGCAACTACCTCGTATGTGTTGAAGGCAAAAGGACAATCTGTCTTGCGAGAATTTGAATCGTCGGTTGGTTTTTTCCCTGATCGTTGGCACTCGTACCGAATGCTGGTGATTTTGTCGCCTTTTTTGTCTGAGGATCGAATGACAATCTTGTATCCGTTTGTAGCAGCATGCGCCTTGAGCTGGGTTTGCATTGCTGATAATGACGGTGCGATGAGGTCGTGTGGTGGTGGCTGGAGCAAGGTAAAGTTGCTGGAGGTAGGTATTGTGTCGGACATTGAAGTTGTTGACGTTTGGTGGTGAATATCTTGAAATCGTCGATGGTGTGAGGTGGTTGGTGTGAGTATGTTGGTAGAGGTGTGATTGGAGTGTGATGTGCGGATTTTTGGCCCATTGACCTGGGCAGTTCTGTACAGGGTGGTGGGTTTAGGGCATGACTTTGAATATTAGGTTGCTTAATTTTGGTAAATAATGCTTGGGGTGGTTTGATTTTACTACACCTGTGTGACAAATGAAGTGTGTAGGTGCGGTTTAACTGTGTTGGTGGACTTTGGCTTGGGGTGTGGGTCGAAGTGAAGAGTGTTAGGGTACTGGTGGGTAATTTCCACGATATGGGTAGGGTGGTGGGGTTCTGATACAGTAGGTGCAGTTAGGTGTTAGGCTACAAGGCTGGCACACTGAGTGGTGTATTTTTTTACAGGATGGGGTGCAGAGTTTTGAGAGGTGGTGGAGTATTGCTGATGGGGTGCGCTAGGGGTGTGGTGTTCACAGTTGGTGAGAAGCGCTCCCTTATAGAAAGGGGACTTAGCGAAAATTTGAGGTCTCGGAGATGCTTCTCAAGATGCAACTTCATCTCGCAGTATTCCCAGGAACCCCATTGGGTCACAGGGTACTGTGTATGACCCTATGGTATAGGGTAAGGACTTAAGTGTGCAGGTGATTAACAAATATGTGCTATTTGCAAATATAAGTGTGTACTTGAGTATTCAACTCAAGTAACACTGACTTGATCAAGAATATCACTTGAACAAATATTATAAAAGTGTGGTCCCAGGTTACATTGACACCTAGTTACATTTATCAACACTCAGAAGTCCAATTTGAAGAGTGTTGAAAAAGACATTAAGGAAAAAGAAATGCTATTTGCACGGGTCTGTCTGCATTTGAGTCAAATACTACACAAGAACTATAACCTGTACATTAGACCACATTGAACACAATTAGACCACATTGAACACATGACTGTAGTTCAATGTTTTCAATTACAATTAATTGTAAGACCTATGATTGAAATTGAGACTGGTAAGAACCTAGTCTCTCAATCACAATCAATTCTAACACGTATGATTTTAATTGAGACTGTCCACTTTGGGCTCCATACTATGGGGCCCAGTTTTTACTCTTATAAATTTAATAGAGACTGTGCACTATGGGAGCCTTCATAGTATGGGTGTTTGCCTCGTTGAGACATAAAGTGGGCAAATTAGTCC